TTTAATACTATATATACACACCCAGAAGCCACAGGGTTTTTTTTTTTATATATATATATATATATTTTTTTTTATTGATTTTTCAGAGAGAAAGAGAGAGGGATAGTCAGAAACATCGATGAGAGAGAATCATCAATCAGCTGCCTCTTGCACACCCCCCTCTGAGCATGTGCCCGCAACCAAGGTACATGCCCTTGACTGGAATCGAACCCGGGACCCTTTAGTCCGCAGACCGATGCTCTATCCACTGAGCCAAACCGGTGCTGGCAACACAGTTTTTTATGTAAACATTCACAGCAGCTTTATTCTTATTTCCCCAAACAGGAAACCAGTAAAACGTTCATTAACAGAGTGGGTGGGTTTAAAAAAAAAAAAAAGTGGTACATTCATACTAAGGAATACTACTCAATACATGGTTCTTTTTTTTTTTTTTTTTTTACTAAATGAGAGCACTGTATAAAGCAGCAGTTGCCAACCAGTGGCCCACGGGCCACTAGTGGTCCTCGAGGTCCAAAGGGTTGGCAACTGTTAGCATACAGAGTAAATACTATATCTTAAGAAATCCAGAACACCAACCAGAAAGAATATCTGTATCGCTATGCAACAGTAAAAAAGGAGGATCTCTTTGAGACAACATGGAGGGACCTGGGGAGTATTATGCTAAGAAATACTTTCCTCAAATTTTGGGAAATTTCCTATATAATGAAAGGATAATATGCAAATTGACCATAACAGCATAACTACCGGGAATGACTGGTCATTGACATGCACTGACCACCAGTGGGTAGACACTCAACATAGGAACTGCCCCTGGGTGTTCAGTGCACTCCCACAGGGGGAGCTTTGCTCAGTCACAATCCAGGCTCATGCTCAGTGGTGGTTGTGGAAGCCTCACTCCCCTCCTTTGGAGCGCTAAGGATGTCTGAGTGTGTGTGTGGGGGGGGGGGGGGGGGGGGGGAGAGGGAGGGAAGCGGGCTTAAGCCATTAGTGAGATCTCCTAAGGGCTGCCAGAGGGATGTCTGCCAGCTTAGATCAGATACCCCAGGGCTTAAGCCAGCAGGTGAACATTCCCTGAAGGGTCCCAGACTGCGAGTGTATTCAGGCAAGGCTAAGGGACACCGCCCCCCCCCCCCATACAAGTGCACCAATTCTCATGCACCAGGCCTCAAATGAAAACGTATTCTGCTAGCTTGAACTCATCCTCCCCATCAGTGAGATGCTCTGTAGAATACTAGTGTTGCCATCTGGTAGATCTATTTACCTCTAGTTTGTGCCATTCTCAAATATCTCCCAAACCAATTTAAAAAAATCTAAATAGGATAAGATGCTATACAGAGCAAACAACAGGTTGCAAAGCCAATGAACTATCCTAATAGAGGTAATATGCAAATAGACCCACCATAGCACAAGATAGCCACCCCCGTGTGGTCAAAGATGGCCACAAGATGGTCAGCGGGAGAGGGCAGTTTGTGGGTGATCAGGCCAGCAGGGGAGGACAGTTGTGGGGGGAGGAGGTGTAGCCAGGCCTGCAAGGGAAGGCAATTGGGGGGATACTAGGCCTGCAGGGGAGCAGTTAGGTGTTGATCAGGCTGGCAGGTAGGCAAGTGCTTGGGAGCCAGTGGAGGAGGGATAAGGTCTAAACTGGCAGTCTGGCACCCCCTGAGGAGTCCCTGGCAGGAGAGGGTGTAGGCTAGGCTGAGGGATGCCTCCCTACCCCACCCCTTACCAAAATTTCATGCACCAGGCTTCTAGTTCTCTAATAAGCTTATTCTAAGTTATCAATAGACATTTTCATAAAATCCTGATGTTCAGAATTGTGATTACTGTAGCCAAGGAGACTGAGGAGCTGAAATTTTACCAAAGAAACACAAACTCTGCATGAGCTCTTGCTGTTGTGCCTGAATGGTCAGAGCACTGGCCTGCACACTGAAGGGTCTCAGGTTCAATTCTGTTCAAGGACACATGCCTGGGTTGTGGGTTCACTCAGACTAGGACATGACATGAGAGGCAACCAGTTTCTCTGTCCCTTCTTCCCACTCCGAAAAGTAATGAAAAAAATACCAGTATCGTCTGGTGAGAATAAAGGAAGCTCACACCTTGTTCTTCTCTATTCCACCGTTATGAGGCCTATTCTGTAAAACATTGTACATTGTACCTTCAAACCTTTGACTCCTTCTAAGACCAAATTCACAAATAAACATTGCTGGGGTTCTTTTCCCAGCCTTACAAAGAGTCCACCATTCTGGAGAAAGAGGCTGCGCGTAGATGATTGAGTACAAGAAGAAAGAAAATTTTCAAAGGCATTGGGGCTGAAACCGGTTTGGCTCAGTGGATAGAGCGTTGGCCTGTGGACTGAAAGGTCCCGGGTTCGATTCCGGTCAAGGGCATTTGCCTTGGTTGTGGGCACATCCCCAGTAGGGGGTGTGCAAGAGGCAGCTGGTCAATGACTCTCTCTCATCGATGTTTCTCTCAGTCCCTCTCTCTTCCTCTGTAAAAAATCAATAAAATACATTAAAAAAAAAAAAAAGATGCCAAAACCGGTTTGGCTCAATGGATAGTGTGTCGGCTTGGGGACTGAAAGGTCCCTGGTTCGATTCCGGTCAAGGGCATGTACCTTGGTTGCGGGCATATTCCCAGTAGAGGGTGTGCAAGAGGCAGCTGATCGATGACTCTCTTCCATCGATGTTTCTAACTCTCTATTTCTCTCCCTTCCTCTCTGTACAAAATCAATAAAATATATTAAAAAAAAAAAAAAAAAAAAAGACATTGGGGTCAGAGGATCTTCAGCTAAAGGAACTGAAGACTCCCCTCCTTGACTTAGGACCCTGCTTTTATTAACACAATTTGTCCTAAGGCAAGGTGGAGATAATACACTTCAAAGGATTGGGTACAGAAGCATTGACATTTGGGGGAATAGCCTACAGCTGTTCAGGTGTTTTGCCAACAGGAGGCAATAAAATGCCCTGAGCTGTCTGGCAGCAGACAGCCCTATTCAGGTTTGGGGCAAGTGCCTTCAGCCCTTCCAACAGGTTACATTTGATTCAATCCTTGTGGAGCTCCCTAAGCTTTGTAATTATTACATGCTGGACAATTCCCGGCAACACATTCTAATTCTTACTATTTACCCTTTCTCATCTCTGATATCCCAGTACACAGTCCAAACAGTTCTTCTGAGCTTCAGGTAATAAAGCCACTAACAAAAAAAGATGTTTAAGTCTGAATGCCAATTAGCCATTCTCCCAGAAGCTCAAAGGTTTTTTTGTCTTCATAACTCACAAATCTTAGGAAACAATAATTTAATAGTTTTTTTCAATTAATTTAAAAACTTTAGATGCCTAATATTTGATAAAGTATACTATTAAAAAAATACATCAACAGAAAACTTTCTGACTGTCACTAGACAATCAATTAAGCAAACTTTTATTGAAGCTTAAATTGTGGTACAGAAATACATTTCACCTGATTTAAGTCCAACACCACCATGAAGAGAAATTATGGCATCAAAAGTTTCCCTCCTCTAGCATAATATATGAGGATTAATTTAAATTACTACTTAATCTACAGTTTTCATTTTTCTAGGTCTTGTTTCATACAAATTTATGTAGTTTTTCAACATTAGGTAAAAATCTTAAATGTATTAGAAAAAAAATTAGACCTCAAGCCAACTCATGTCATCAAATCACTGGGACACTGTTCAAGAAAATCCACTTTGAGTATTGGTCCTCAAATCAGCACCAAAACAGTAGGTACTGTGTGCTAATTAAGAATCAAACTGATTCATTGATTGAAAGCTTCTTCAATGAAACTCTGAATCAAGAATGTGCTTAAAATAAGTCAAAAGTAATCCAACCACTTGATTTCAAACCAAGATTTTGTTTTGAAACACTTAAAAGAAAAAGTGTTTCGTTGATAAATACGGACAGAACAAAATATCACTGCATAAAGCCACAAAGTGGGAGACATGGGGGGGGGGGGGGCGGGACAAGAATTCAAAATGTAATAAACTTTGCTGTTTTCTACGTTGCTTAAATCTTATAGTATTTGAAAATATAACTAAACAGGCCAACTCCTAAAAGCCCATATTTCTAGTCATTTCCCATTGACCACTTTGGATTTTTGTATGTTTTACAGACAGCCTTCTGCTTCACTGGGTATGTCTGAATAACCTGAACAGTTCTCATTCACATGATCCTCTGAAACCGTGAAGAAAACACCAAGAAGAGGAACACAGAAAGTCAGAACACTATCATGTGCATCACAGTCACAGAACTTCAGGTCACAAGACAGAATGACACACATGCCGCTCCGAAATAAAAATTTAAGTGAATGATTGGATTTGACTTACTGAATCCAGTATAAATAACCTTTGTTTTCTCCTTGTTAATATATATTTAGTGATAAATTTTTTTTAAAACTACTACTTAGCAAGTTAGTAAAGAAAGACACGGTCCTCATGTGAAGCTATCTTATTTTACTGGAACACAGAATGGCATAGTTCCCATATAGTTCTGCCAGGATAGTCTAAAATTAATTTGTGTCTTCCTTGCTAATCAACACTAGAAGTTTACTTTTGTCACCACCTTCTAAAAGAGCCAGTGCCAATAAAAACTCCCTTGACCTTAAAAGAAAAATCCTAGAGTCCATCCCTTTCCCCACTGTGGTATAAGACTGGTATAGACCCAGTGTAACAGTGTATTGCTTTATTGGGGCAGGGTTGGGAGGGGAGACACCATGATGAGGAACAAAATCAATGAAAGGAATACAAACTCAGGAAGCAATAATGTTAAAACAGTAGTACACAAAATGGTTAACTTTCTTAAGAGGACTCCACTCGTGGAAGAAAAACTTTAATTGTCATTGCAAAAAATATCTGAATGAAGTAGAAATTGTTTTCAATAACATTAGTAGAGAATATGTTCTAGAAATTGGAGGTAACTGGATGTAACATCCTGGCAGCAATTTAATAGAACAGTCCCGGATGGTTAGGCTGAGGCCAAGACCTAATGAGGACGAAAGCCTTGTCTGTGGGGAATTTTGGAGGATACCTGGAGAAATATTACACTGTGCATAAACCAAATTGAATTGTTGTAAGTTTTGTAAAGTTTCATATAGTCAAAGTTTTTTTCTACATGCACTTCAATTTCACAGCAAGAGTGGCATAGGTTGCCTAAACACAGAAGAGAGCATTCATGCAAGATATCTAACTCCTTGATATAATAATGCATACAATTCAAAATGATTACACTATCATTACATCTAGTGCTTTCTGCAACTACAAGGCGGTGGTTTTGGAAAGCATGGCCCCCGGTATCAACATCTAAAAAGCAGCCACCACCTTCTTTTATGTGTGTTTCCTTTTTGCGTTTTTTCTTCATTTTTGTTAATCAACTCTGCTGCTGCTGCTGCTTCTTAGCAAAACTTGTAAAAACAAAGTTGTAATCATTGAACATAGCACTCTGGCAATCAAGACGTTTAAAACCTTCAATCTTCTGGGGCGAAGAAAGCACTGTGCGACATTTAGAACTCTGGGGAAGAAAATTAAATAAACTGTTAGAGCTTCCATAATGCAAAAGATTCACCGTAATGCCACAAATATTTAAAACATTTATCTTCATAAAACTATGGTATTTGAAATATCTTAAGCTGCCTTCTTATGGGCTTAAGTGAGATAAGATAACTATGTCCACCAGCCCCCATCTTTATCCTGCCAGCAGCGGAAGCCCAACAATTAACTACATATAAAACAAGCACCAATAGAATTTTAATGAAACTCAGGAAGCTTTTCATCCCAAAAATCTCAACTCGTATCTGACTGACAAGTGCTATTTTATGACATTCCTCACTACCCTTATTTTCTGGAAGATTTTATTGTCAAAAAACAAAGTACCTGGTTTACAAACAAGGTGGTCACAAATTTTCCTGGCTTGAAGACTTCCACAACTTTCCTGATCAGGTCATCATAGGAGGTCTGACTTAAGTTTGTTTCAAAGCTAACATAAGAAAATTCTGGTTCTGGAGTGATGTGAATAGTCCAATAAGTTCCCTTAGAGAAACAGTTTTGTGTTAATAATGGAAAGGGCATACTTAAATATTTAAATAAGCATTAAGCAAATATTATTACTTACATCCGATTTCATGCCATTCATTGAATACCCACAAGGATTGAACATTGTGGCATCAATGACAGAACCTGGTATCAGGTCACGAATTCCACTCTCCTGAAAAGGAAAGAAGAGAGACTGAATGAAATACAAATTTAAAAAATAAAACAAGAATGTGTTAATATATTTTAGTCCCCAAGCAGAATCCAGAATTATTGAAAATCCTTACACGAGTGACATCCTTTGCAGTAACACCATCTTTCATGTAGAACTGGTCCATAACTGCTGGGTCAAGCTCACTCATCAGAATTTCCAGGGTTTGATCTGGCTGACTGATTACCCTACTCTCTGGGAAATCCAAAGTATACAAGTACCTATACAAAAGTAAAAAATCATTTATAAAAATGACAACGACAGTTTAAAGTAATCTTGTATATAAGAAAAAAAATCCATAAGATTGTGTCCAACATACCAACAGTCAGAATTCATACGTCCCATACAATATGCTGCTCCATCTGTTGAGGGAGGAGAAAGTAAAATAAATGCAACAGTTCCATTTGATAGGATGGTTTTTTTCTCACCCTTCCAATAGCTGGGATGATACTATTTGTCTCCTATCAGAAATATCAGTGAAGGAAAGTAAGTGGGTGAATTCACAAGTAGGCAAGACTTTCCCCATTACCCTTAAAAAAAAAAAAAAAAAAAAAAAAAAATATATATATATATATATATATATATATGTATATATTTTACTGTCATTTAGAAATTCTCTTTAGCAGCCAGTGAGTCAGTCTAAGTGGTGCTGAGAAAACTATGACTTCTTCTCTCCTAAAACTCCATTAGGAAATAGAATTTGGTTACCCTTTTATCTATTCTCCCAAGTAAATAAATTTATTTTATGTAATACTTTCCATAGTTTCAAAGCCTCACTCAACACAGTAAATTAACAATTGGTAGATATTCACACTAATTATAATTAGCACTCTCTGATTTAGATCAATTTAGTTTCATATTAGTAGATAATAGAAATATAATTTTCTTTTAAAATCATGCCAGTGAGTGACTTTGTCAAATTTTCAAATGATCCTAAATTATCAGCTTTATCTAGGATGTAAGGGTGTTGGATTAAATAACCCTTAGTTCCTTGACCTTACACCTCAGAAAGAAAGGTTTATAGCCCTGGCCAGTGATTCAGTTGATTGGAGCATCGCCCAATACACCAAAATGTCGCAGGGCCGAAACCGGTTTGGCTCAATGGATAGAGCGTCGGTCTGCGCACTGAAAGGTCCCAGGTTCAATTCCGGTCAAGGGCATGTACCCTGGTTGTGGGCACATCCATAGTGGGGAGTGTGCAGGAGGCAGCTGGTTGATGTTTCTCTCTCATGGATGTTTCTAACTCTCTATCCCTCTCTCTTCCTCTCTGTAAAAAAACAATAAAATATATTAAAAAAAAAAAAAAAAAAAAAAGAAAGAAAGAAAAAAAGATCATTAAAAAAAAAAAAAAGTTTGCAGGCTCAAATCCTAGTTGCAAGTTTGATATCTGTTCAGGCCATGAGAGGCAACTGATCAGTTTCTTTTTCACATCTCTCTCTAAAGCAAAAAACAAAACAAAACCCTCCACATATCCTTAATATATATTTTTTAAATAAAGATCTGTAAATAAACATTTTGTAAATGAATGGGGAAAAAAACTTGCCCAGTAAGAAGAAAAGTTAATTGATATCCTTTGCAGTAACACCATCTTTCATGTAGAACTGATCCATAACTGCTGGGTCAAGCTCACTCATCAGAATTTCTATGATTTCTCTGTGTTTGTAATTTATAAATCAGCTCAATTCCCATATAGAATGCTGGATCAGTGTCCTACCACAGGATTATGTAGTCACTCACTGTGCATTTTTCTGGATGAAGGGATTACAGCCTTCATATCCACTAAATTTGATATAAATCAGAGCAACTGACTAGATCAAGATAAATTCTCCCTCTAGCAGGTGACTAATTCATTTCATTTTCTATAACTTTAACAATGACCTGATGTGAGCACACACACATAAATATAAATCTTATAATCAACCATATTGGACACACTTATCTTAATTATAAACATGCTACATTTGCATAAATGTGCTTTCATACATATAAAAGATTTCTGAAAATATATACCTCTAAACTTTAATAAAGCAGGTTTCAATTCTATTTATTTAAACTTACTTGGGAAAATTGCATTAAGAAACTCTATTTCTTCCTGGAAATTCCGGTGTGGGTACCCTTGGTGAGAAGGCTTCATGAAATTCTTACGAGAATAAAAGAAGCTCTAAAAAAGGGAGATAAACCAATATCCATGAGTCAAGTGCTCTTAGGAACAACTTTGTAAGCTGTGGAGAAGTCTCAACAGAGCATTAATAATACAGAGTGCATCAATGACTTTCAATGAACTAAAATACCCAGTCTACAGATGATGGGTCATAAAAATAATAGCAATTATGAAACAATAGAGCAGTGGTTTCTGATATGAGCATTTAAATAGACACGTAAACCAAAATTTTGTGGGAGAACATGTGTACATTAAACTTTAAGAGTCAGTGATTCAGCACTGGCCAGTGTAACTCTGGTCATACTTTTTCCTCAAGGATCATGGGTTCCACTCCCAATCAACACATACCAGGGTTTGGGTTTGTTCCCCTTTCGGGGCATGCACATGAGACAACCAACCAGTGTTTATCTCTCACATCAATGTTTCTATCTCTCCAAAATCAATGAAAAATATATCCTTAAGAAAAGAGTCGCCGGGACCAGTTTGGCTCAGTGGATAGAGCATCGGCCTGCGGACTGAAAGGTCCCGGGTTCGATTCCGGGCAAGGGCATGTACCTTGGCTGCGGGCACATCCCTGATGGAGGGTGTGCAAGAGGCAGCTGATCGATGATTCTCTCTCACTGATGTTTCTAACTCTCTATCCCTCTCCCTTCCTCTCTGAAAAAAAAAATCAATAAAATATATTAAAAAAGGAAAGAAAAAAAAAAAGAAAAAAAGAAAAATACTGGTTTAAAAAAAAAAGAAAAGAGTCAATAGCCCTAACTGGTTTGGCTCTGGATAGAGTGTCAGCCTATGGATTCAAGGATCCTGTGTTCCATTCCAAACAAGGGCATGTACCTTGGTTACAAGCACATATCCAGTGGGGAGTGTGCAGGAGGCAGCTGATTAATGTCTCTCTCTCTCATTGATGTTTCTAACTATCCCTCTCCCTTCCTCTCTGTAAAAAAAAATCAATAAAATATATTTAAAAAGAAAGAAAGAGTGATCCAAAAATTAAGAACATATTTGTTGCTGGTCAATGTTTCTCTTTCATTGATGTTTCTAGCGCTTTATCCCTCTCTCTTCCTCTCTGGGGGGGAAATCAATAAAATATATTAAAAATAATAAATAAAAAAATTAACGAAAACTTTTAGGTTCTATGAATGCTCCCTACTGGGGATCGAGCCCACAACCTGGGCAGGTGCCCTGATCAGAAACTGAACCAGGGACTTCTTGGTCCATGGGATAATGCTTAATCCATTGAGCCACACCAGCCGGGCTCTCATCTTAATTTGTAAATGTTTTCAGAATTTAACTCTATACTGTTGCCTTAACATAATCAACTTTTTATTATGAAAACTGGATTAATTTTTCTTGCTTTCACTTAGTTTCTTTGCCCTTCATATTAACACTTCAAGGAGTTAAATATTGAACATGTCTGGTTTCTTCATTTCTTTCTCCCATATGCATTTTTCCCCAACTCATTCTCTGCTTCCTCCACATTTGCTATTCTTTAGCATCAGGAAGAATATAGCAATAAGTATACAAATTTATTTATAACTTAAAGGATTAAATAATGGGTTTTATTACTTACTTGTATTGAGTCAAACCCACTGTAATCCCTAGCAAGTTTCAACAGGGGAACCAGTGCTTTCAGCAAGAGGGTGGTACCACATGTCTTCAAAATGAAACGTCTCTTGGAGACAAACATGCTACTCTCACTACAATTGAAAAAAGTTACAATATTAAAATGCTGTTTATGTACTATTGATATAATTAACCTATGTTAAAACCTCAAAGAAGAAAATAATATACAGTAGTCTTCCTCTTCCATTATACAAAGATCAGTTTAAGTTCTAGAACCCACAGAAACAGTCCTTGAATTTGTTATAAAGCATATTATTTCATTACAAACATTCTTTTTTACTAAATTTTCCTCCTCACCCATCCCCCCATTATTAAATTCATACTTTACTTCATCTTGCACCATCCATTCTCACATGTATTTCTACAGCCATCTCATTACTTTTTACACTAAATAAGCTCAGCGAAGCAATGAATGTTTGTTCTTAATCACTATTATATCTCTATGGTAAGTTGTTCAATCCAAGACCCATTATAATATGTATAAGAATTCAACATACTTATTGAATAAATTAACTTTGTAGTACTTATAAAAAGGTTAAATGGCTTTTTTCTGTTGCTAACCTCACTTTGCCTAAGGTTCTGATATTGAGAATCATATACCAAAAGGAAGATTCCAATCTGCAAGGTAAAGGTACAATGTCATTCTACTGTCTTTATAGATACTTCCTGCTCACTACCTGTAGGTAAAGATGGCAACCCTCTTGAAGATCTTTTAGGTAAGACTTCAAAATCTACTGCCTAGAGATATCCGAATAAACATTTTATTTTACAACGTATTTTTAAAAATAAGACTAAAACCCAGAGGAACAATTTGCTATTATTCTATATATAGTATAATTCAGACAGAAATATGTTAGGTAACACTTGTTTTACAGGACTTACCTGAGTACATAAGCTTCCTGCTTGTCAGTTTTTGTCACACTTATGATTGAACATTGCACATCCTTCAAAAGTATGTCCCATTCGGATCTATTATTTAACAAAAAAGATGATTAATTCATCATACTATTTGCCTACTCTCAAAAATTATAAATCACATTTAAAAGTTTTTCAAAGATCAACAAAGCATATTGTGTATTTGTTGGTACATTATTATTGTACCTCCTTATAAATATCAACATTTAGTTTTGTTTCAAAGTTACTTATCTATATTGACACCCATCAAATAAGATGACATTGGTATTTTACTAAGAAAAAGACAAATAAACAAAATACCATGAATAAGCCATGTACAGAGAAAATTCAAAAGGAAACCAAGGCCCTGGCTCATTTGGCTCAGTGGATAGAGCATTGGCCTATTGTTTGAGTGGTCCAGGGTTTGATTCTTGTTGGGGGCATGCAGGAGGCAGCTAATCAGATTCTCTCTCATCATTGATGTTTCTCTTTTTCCCTTCCTCTCTGAAACCAATTATCTCTAATAATAAAAGCATAATATGCTAATTAGACCTGACGTCCTATCAGATGAAGCCAGGTCTGCGAGGGAAGCGGGTGCCGGCAGCCAGGGAAAGGAAGGCCTACTCTTGCATGAATCCGTGTATGTGCCTCTAAATATATATATATGTATATATATAAAAGGCTAAGTGTCCGTCTGTCTGACCTGTAGCTATGACCACCAGGGGGCAGATGCTCAATGTAGGAGTTGCCATGAAACACACTGGTCATCTATGTATATATAAAAACTGAATACGCAAAATGTCCCCATCACTTGTTATGATGTGCACCAACTACCCGAGGGCAGTGCAAAATGAAGGGAGGCCCCCAGTTGGCAACCAGAAGGCCCTGATCACCAGCCAGACCTAGAGACCCTACCTGTGCACAAATTTCATGCACTTTGCCTCTAATTTAAAAACAATCAGCTCCAGGAACTGGTGCTGATAAACCCAACACTCAGCTTCACCTTCACCCAAGTAGGACACAGGCCCTGCCACCACGCCAGAGCAACACCCCACCAAATCACAGCCAACACCCATGGCACAAAATGTGGCCCACAGCCCAGCCCAGGGTATAGGTGCTGGGCAATGAAGTCACATAGCAACGCCCTGTTTCCTCTCCCTAGGGACTAACCCTCCTTGCAGTTTCTTCAGCCCAAGAGCCCGGCTTGCTTTATAGCCAGATGCAAATATTTTACAGTTTAACCAAATGTTTATAAAGTGTTTTCCCATGCCTTATCTTATTTGATTCTCATAGAAGTCCTAGAGTAGGTAGTAGACTCAGTAGAATCCTATTTTCTTTTCATTAGCAAGACATGAATAGCAATATTAAAATATTTCTTCTAATTAATTTCCTTTCAATGTGCATGAATTTGTGCACTGGGACACGTGTGTGTGTGTGTGTGTGTGTGTGTGTGTGTGTGTGTAAAGGAAACCAAAGAAAACCATATTAAAAAATGAGAAACATTATCAAAAAATGAAGGGAAAAAAAAAGCATTTGGCTAGCAATTCAACAGTACAAGCATTTCCACAAGATCTTAGGAATACAATGTGGCTCTACTGAAATGGGAAAATGCCTATTTCAATAGAGTAGAAAGTCTGTAGTACAGGCAATAATAGAGAGCAAAACTGAAGCAATATAGATATACAACTGAGTAAACTGGTACTCCAACTAGGGAATGTGCCCTGACTTAGAATAGAACCAGTGACTCCTTGGTTCATAGGTCGACGCTCAACCACTGAGTCATGCTGGCTGGGCCTTTGCCCATTCTTTAATTGGGCTGTTTGTCTTCCTTTGGTTAAGTTGTATGAGTTCCAAAAAAATAAAGGAAAAAAAAGGTATGTATAAATAAGAAGTTACAAGAGTTTCTTATATATTTTGGATATTAAACCTTTATCAGATTTTTTATGGTTTCATGACTTACATTTACATCTCAGCTTTTATTCTGTGTTGTTGACTAGATAAACTCATTCACTCTTTTGTCATGTCTTCTACTTAAGCCATGAAATAATTTTTATTCCAGTAATTATTTTTGTTATATTTTTAAGTTCTAGCTTCTATTTTTCTGCTAAGATTCTCTTTCATTTTGAGAATATTCACTCTGACTTATAAAATGGTTACAACAGCTGCCTTTAAATCTTGATCTACATCACCTCAAGGCTGGTGTATGTTGACTGTCTCCCTTTGAGAGACACCGAGAATATCCTGATCTGTATAATTGAGCAATTCATCATTGCAGCCTGAACATTATGTTATATATATATATTTTAAAAAAAAAAATGCTTGGGGGAGAGGGGGAGAGCGCGCACGCGCGCACACACACACACACACACACACACACACACACATACACACACACACACACACACACACGCGTGCGCACACACACGCACACAGAGAGAAACAAAGATCTATCAGCTGCCTCCCACACATGCCCAAACTGGGATTGAACCTGCAACCCAGGCATGGCTCTGACAAGGAATTGAACCCATAACCCTTCAGGGAAAGGATGATGTAAGCCACACCAGCCAGGCCAAGTTAAAGAATTTAAAATCTTATTTAAATCCTATGGAGCATATTGATTTAACAATCGTTTTAGCAAGCAATTGAAATGTTATGGTTTAGTCTTCAAGTTCTTATACAACTTTTTCTATGGGTTATGATATGATTTCAGTTTAGTTAGGGAAGGCTATTATTAGGCATGCCACTAGAGGCCCAATGCATGAAATTCGTGCAAGGGACTTGGTCCTTGCAGCCCAGGCTTTCCCTGGAAGGTCATCGGGAAGGTCTTTCTGCCTCCAGTCTAGTTAGTATATTAGGATGGTATTCAGATCTACCTTGCACTCAGTGGCCAGTCTGGTACTGGGAGGTGAGCTATCAGTTCTCAAAGCCTTGGATCTTCTGTTTAGGGTCAGAGCCAAACATAAACAGCTCAGGGGTGTTCATATAAATCTTCATGGGATTCACTTTCTTCAACTCTCTCCCCTCTCCATAATAGCTCTGACAATTTCTAGCTCAAAGGCAGAAGCAGGGGAACTTTTTGGTCCTTTGGCTAGAAAGCCAAGGCTTTAGGTTTCCCACTCTTGCAGCAGGCTGGCTGTGATTATCTGTCTATCTTGGGCCTAATGAGGTGATGACAGAGGGAAAACAACAACAGGGATATATCCCTGATGCTATTCCATCTTGGGACCACACTTCTTCTGGTCAAAAACGTTTCCCCCTCTTTGGAATTTAAGCATTTGCCTGGTTACAATTACTACAGGACTGCATTGTCTGTGGCAGGAAAGAACAGAAGAAAAAAACAAAACTAAACTAAACCAAAAGGGGATCCCATCCATTCTCTTTGAGCCAAAGGGACGCCCTCCTTCCTGTCTTTACAGACCAGAAAAAGAGGACTTCTTAGAGTTCTTTATTTGCATCTGTTGTGCAGTTCCAGGTTTCTGGCAGCCTTTGAAACTACCATAGGAGATTCCAGAGGAAAAAACAGAAACCATGGCTGTTTCAATGGCATTTTGAATTCTGGTTTCCTTCTTCCACTCACCTGCTAACATTTACTTTTCAGAGCCCTCACCATGCATTCTGTCCAGAGTTTTTAGTTGCATCTAGCAAGGTGCTTATTCCACCTTAATGGAAACCAGTGCTCCTGTAAGTCACTCATTGTTACTTAAACTCTGTAACCAAACAGAAATCCTCCAGCAGTCATTATTTTTCCAAAGTCACAGTGTGAAAGAAAGCAATTGTGTGAAAACATCTTAAACACAGTTGGATTGTCTATCAACCAAGTGGTTATAAAGACATAATCCTAAGAGAGCGCCTAGGCTCAGAAATATAAAACACCAGAGGCCTGAGGCCTGAAATTCTTGCAAGAATAGGCCTTCCTTTCCCTGGCTTCCCTCGCAGACCCGGCTTTCATCTGGAAGGGCATCCGGTCTAATTAGCATATTATGCTTTTATTATTCTGGATAATAAATGGGGGGAGGCCCCCAGCAAAAAAGATGTGACAAAAATAAAACTGAAGAAATTAGTACAGTGCTATACTTGTGCATTAAGTGAATGGTGAAAAACACCAAAACAGCTAAGAATTCCAGCAAATCATTTAATTACATTCCTGTAGGGAAAGTAAGTCTTTTTGTAAATAAAATGAGGCTTTATTGGAGTCTAGCCACACCCACTCATTTATATAGTGTCTGTGGTTGCTTTCTCCCTATAAGGTCAGAGCTGAGTAGTTGCAACATGGACTGTACCGTCTGCCTTGCAAAATTTTAAATTTTCTATCTGGCCCTTTACAGATTTTTGCTGACTCCTGGTTAGGGAAAGATTTTAAGTGCCCTGCTTTATGTCCAAATTTAATAATGAAAAAGGACAAGTATTTTGTACAGGTGACTAAGGCATTTTCTGAATTGTTTGTGATTTCAAAGTGAGATAGTATCAAGTTAGAATATAACAGCCGGCTCAGTACAATGGAAGGTGTCTGTGCTTTATCCCCACACACTCTAACACCTAGACTAGTCTAGAGTATAAACTATTTTGCAAAATTGGGGTTTTTTTTTTTTTGTCAGTTATTGTTATTTTACTTACGTTTTAAATACAGATGAGTTCAATAAATCATAAACTGACAGCAAAGCAGAAGCTAATTTTGGGATATATTTCATAGTGTTGATTTAGTGATTGGAAAATATTGCAAAAGATATTCAAAATGTAACACAACTTGCAAGGTGCTATAAAAGAATGAGAAGTCATAGATAAACAAACATATTACAATTTGAATTATATTTTATTTACTTAAGTGCCACCACCTCACCTTACAGGTTTTCAACTGAGGACGACTGTCACCCAGAAAACATTTGGCAATATTTAGAGACATTTTTGGTCATCACATGGGTGGCAGTTGGTCATTAGGGACATGTAGTTGGTAGAGACCAGGGATGCTGCTACACCATAGGTAAGTAGGGCACAATAGTTATACAGCCCAAAATGTCAAAGTGCTGAGGTTGAGAAACCTAACTTAAAAGTAAAGTACTAAAAAATACTACCAGATC